GAAGACAGCTGGGAGCAGCTTCAAAAGCAATGGTGGTCGATCTGACAGCGAGGCGAGGCCCTTTGTACATGCCGCTCCATACCAGACATGCGGTTTCTCCTTTAACAGGCTTTCACCATCATGGATCAGAACCGCGATGGTTTCATCGACAAAACAGATCTGAGAGATACGTTCGCAGCACTAGGTAAGCCAAGAAACGCCTTTACGTTATGAAATCCATCAGTGGCCTATGAGTAATTTATATAGGATCCCATTGAGGAAAAAAGTGTTTCAATTGTCGTTCCTTTTCCACTGCCCAAAATGTTAATATCAAGATGTAGACCACGAGAAATAAGGAATAGAGAAATCCAGAACTCTGGCTTGAAATAGAACGGACAGTCCCGAGTTTTAACCGCGTTCTAGGTCAAGATGATTTATATATTTCCAAGCCAAAGGCAGCTGGTATGAACGACTGGGCATCTCAGAATTTCTCAATTTTTGCAATGTTGGCAGTAAATGTAAGAAAATTCTCCATTGTTCCACATTAGGCAGGGATGGGAGGGGTGTTACTTGTCTGCTGCTTGCTTGTCAGGCCTCTCAGGTAAAGCAGACAGGAAACACCACTAGATGAGCTGATTCTACTTTAGTGTAAGGCTACATTAACAGAATTTTGCAAGCCTGAAAGTCCAAAACTTCCTTCCCTCACTTTTAATGGCTTGATTCATTAGGGGAGGTTCTTGCTAAGTTTGTTCCTCCGACCACTATGCCACTGGGGGGCTCCTCCCTTTCTTCTCTGATCTTCCCCTCATCCTCAAGGTCATCCACACATTCCGTTGCATTGCCTCAAAATAGCTGCGCCTAGCACAATCGCGATAGGTCTTTCAATAGTTTAAGGGATTCCTTAAGAGGGATTCCTTCCGTTCCCTGCTGAGGGATTATGCTTGGTTTGGTTTTGCTCGCTTTAGGGCGTCTGAATGTGAAAAATGAAGAGCTTGATGACATGATCAAAGAAGCTCCTGGACCAATTAACTTCACCGTGTTCTTGACAATGTTTGGAGAAAAGCTTAAAGGTAAGATTGAAGGCTATGATTTGGTTGCAAGCAGTGAGCACCTTTGGTAAGATGTTTAGGCACCCACCCATACAGACATATATATGGGCACACCCTTGATATATAACCAACCAACCTGGGAAAGAAGAAGCTACAATTGTAAAGACAAGACAAAGCAGATTAAAAGTAGAATCAAGACTAGAACTTCCAAGAATGTGCCGAGAGTGTCACAGGTCTAATATGTTGTAAGCTGCCCAGAGTCACTTCGCAACAGGATAAAAAAAACAAAGAAACAAGCAAACCAACATTTAAGGTCATGTGCTGGATTCCCAATTCTCCTGGAGAGCTTCCTTGTGTGGCTCCAGGAGGGTTTCATTCTGGTTTTCTGTGTAGCCTCAGCCTTCCCACAAACTTTGCAAGAAGGACCACTTTTACGAAGTATTCAGCTGTCTCAGACTTCCTCTCCATCTCCTCTCCCATCCCCCTTTTATTTCCTTTCCATTTTCCAGGAGCAGATCCAGAGGAAACCATCCTAAATGCATTCAAAGTCTTTGATCCGGAAAGCAAAGGCTTAAAGGCAAGCTAGTAAGTATCTCCGGAGCTTCTCCACTTAAAATGGTCAGAAGATCCCTGGATCCCTTTCTGCCTCTCTCCATCCCTTTCTTCTCACCCCCTTAGTAAGAATATATTTAGCATCACCCCTCTTTGGAGAATCTGCCGTGATGCAAATGTACAATCAGCCTGGCTGCCTATCGTAAAAGCAATTAACAGCTTTTTGTCCCCATGGGCTCCAGCCTGGATTTCAGAAATAAAAAACGCTATCACTTCTATTTTTCACATGGAGGAATGGGTGGGATGGAGACTGATATTCCTTTGCATCTAATCCGGGTTTTTATTTTCCAGCATTAAAGAGATGCTCATGACGCAAGGAGAACGGTTTTCAAAGGAAGAGGTAAGATAAATTTCTGAATCATTCAATGGCCTTTCTTGGGAATGCAATTCAGGAGTACAGCCCGTTGGACTGTCTTCAAAATGAAGATATGCAATTTTACCAAAAGAGCCACTGAGGTATTAACACTCAAGAGGAAATGTTCTGGCTTCTTTGTTCTTCCAGGTAGAGCAAATGTTTGCAGCCTTCCCTCCAGATGTAACCGGCAACCTTGACTATAAGAATTTGGTGCACATCATCACACACGGAGAAGAAAAAGATTAAGAAATGGTGGGAGGCCACTCGGTGTGATGACAGAAGTGATACATTCTCTGGCCAGCTAAGCTGGGCTGTTGTGTCTTCTCTGTCTGTTGTCATCCTCTTGGCAGTCCCAGCCCTTTGTCTGTCCTATCTGTAGAAAGAACGCAGCCATGTCTGGAGAAACCTATTTCTAAAATTGCCTTTGTATTGAATTATTCAGAAAATCTGTGCAGCCCTTGATGAATTATTATGGATGAGGGAATGGAATAAGCTGAACTCACAGCAAGCCATATTTCTTTTCTGATGCCAGAGCAGGGTGCGTTTCTCACTTAGCACACAATGCTAAGAGGCTGTCCAACAACAGTATGTAGAGCTGAGGCTTCACCAACAGGACCACAAATTTGCCACTTCTGCTTTTGCCATTTCTGAAGAGCAGGAGTGGGGAACTATGATTACTATATGACCTCTGGACTTCAACTCCCAGAATTCCTGAACCAGTCATGCTCAGGTTAGGTGAGAGGAAGGCAAGATTCCAACTTAGAAATGGATAAAAGAGAGCACACAAACACACACTGCACAACCCAATAACCCCACATCTTGAAAGAGAAAAGCATGAAAATTGGAAAAGGTATCTTGTTTGATGTTCAACTGGAGGAAGGCGTGACTCCAAAAAAATTTGGCCTGCTGATGTTATTTAGGTTTGCTCACAAAGTTTAGGTCCCAGTCCATGTGTGATGCTGTCCTCCCTAGGGGCTTCCCCTTTTGATCACCCAGGAGCAACATACCAAAGCAGAGAAAAATATGCCAGGTGTGCATCTTTTAAAAGCAGCTAAGTGATCCTATTGTTGGAACAAGGCAGCCATTTTCACCAGGGCATATCTATGGAGGCTTCCTACCTATCAGAGCAATAGCAATACCACTTATATACCGCTTCATAGTGCTTTACCACCCTCTCTAAGCAGTTTACAGAGTCGGCCTCTTGTCCCCCAACAATCTGGGTCCTCATTTTACCCACCTCGGAAGGACGGGAGGCTGAGGCAACCTTGAGACAGTCAGGATCAAACTGCTGGCAGTGGGAATGCAGAGTTCACCTGCAATACTGCATTCTAACCACTGCGCCACCACAGCTCTATTGATTTACTCACCTGCTATCTCTCTTAATTTCCCTCCGTAGAGTTGGATTTCTATTCCTTTCTCTCCCCAGAGCAACCCCTTGAAAAGGTCAATAGGCACATCTCATCTCCTGCCGATCGTGGAAATGTGAGCCCAGGATCTTTTTCCCTCCCAGTTTCCCCGCTATGTCAGCTGCTACATTCGAGTGAATCTCTTACGCAATGGAAGCACATGGCTGGAACCCCACGATTGTCCTTCTGGGTGCATGTAGAGTTGTCCATCCAAGTAGCTGGTCATGAAGTCAGCTGTAACAGGCAGGCTAACCTAACATAGCTTGAGACACATCCAAAGCTAGTGGCTGCACAGTTTGTGCTGAGCGTCCAGGATTGCAAAACCAAATTTCCAACGTCTACTAGCTTTGGGAGCTGGCCAACCTGAAGTGCTCCAGCTATATTGGGATTACAATTCCCAGGTTTTTCAAGAACTACACACAGGTGCAATCTTTATGGTATGGCATTTGCTCTCTGTTAACATGCTGTGAGATAACACAGCTCATTCACAGTGGGCTATAAATAGTAAAATTGTCTGGTATCTAAAAAAGCACGCACCATTCTTGGATAAATCCGAATCATGATCCTACTTCAGTAACTCCACACCTTGAAAGGCATAGGACCGAAGGACGTTTCCATTTACATCTTAAAATGTCTTATTGAGATGCTCTTCTGTTTTTTAAGATGTAAAAAAATAAGAAAATTAGAAAGGCTTAAGATCTGATGCATAACTCGGTTATAATGGAGCCGTACCCATATAAAATATCAGCCGTATGAAGAACATAAGACAAAGCTTGATCAACACTGAGCCATCATGTGGCTTGTTTAGAAGATTCTGCACCTGAGCTGACGAGGATCAACATGAGGGTTAGCCAACATTAGTTCAAGAATGAAGTGGAGCTCATGGATTCCATGACAGGTGCTTCACCTCTTTTCTCTCCATCTGACTTTTGCAGAGTAGGCGCAGCCCAGAGGCCTCCTTGGGGCCTTCCTCTTTTTATTGGGAAAAATGAGGTGCCAGGAACATATCCCTTCATCTTCTTTGGCTAATAGAACCTGCCAAACCAGGGAAATGGCTCGACTCTGCAACAGCCGCACAGTAAAAACATAACAACAACAGAATCGATACCTGTGTCAGGTGTTTCAAGGGCAAGGAGGAGAGTCTCCTTTACAGGGTAATAGAGGGTGGGGGAAAAATGCTGACACTGTAGGAGTCATTTTAAGTGCTCTGCAGCGTCTTTGTCAGAACAGAGGATGCCTCACATAAAAGTACGTCCAAGGAATTTGTTATCCTGGAAAAGAGGCGAGAAAATGGTTTAACTTCCACAATAGTAAAACAAAAACCTGTTGCAACATGAATGCAGCCCTCATCAAAGTGAGATTCTCTGGTTGCGTTGAACTTTCACTTCTGTCTTTCCAAACTTTGATGGCTGGAGGATGATGGGAGAGATCCCATTAGATATTTGAGGGTATATTTTAAAAAAAAGAGAGAAATTCAGGGAAACCAAAAACATGACTGCAAGCAAGACAGCAAGCTGTAGAAATTCGAGAGGCAAATGCTTTCTTTGTTAATACTTTTTTATCCTATGCAAAGAAAATCCATCTTGATATCCCATTCTGTACTGTGTGTGTGTATATATATGTATATATAAAAGTAGATACATGAATCTAAATATATGAAAGCAGCCGGTGAAGAAAAACGGTTCCTTATCCTGCCGCTCATTTCTATCTTAGCTTCTATACCGGGGACGCTTTCTTTTTATCTTTGCCACTCTCCAATCTTTCCGTGGGGGAATTGCTTCTGGCTTTTTCCTTCTCCTGATTCCCCAAGACCATGGCTCGCAGGTTATTGTGGTCTAGCGGTTCTGCTGTTGGGAAAGGAATGAGAAGTTCAACGGGGTTAGTTTGGAGACCAGGCATTTTCTTTCTTTTTAAAATCACAGTTTCACTGAACCACCGTATTTACACAGCATGAACACAACACCAGCTTGTCTTCTCCCCACTCTTAGGCTCCTTGACTGGTTGATTTGGTTTTTCTTATTTTTCTTGAAATGTCTTTGGGAAAACTCAGGGAAACCAAGAGAAACCTTGGCAGAAAGCAACTTACTGAGAGCATAAGGGAATTCTCTCTGCCCTTCTAAGAACTTCCAAGCCAGTCTTCAATAGCCAGACCCTCGTTCTTGCCGGCTCCAAATTTTGCACAACCGTTTCTTCTTCTTCCTGCAGTTACTTACTAGGCTCTGCCATGTCTGCAAAGGGATCCACGCTGAGAGAAGGTGGAGCCACTTTAAGGGTGTCCATTTTCTTCAGCAGAGCACTCCCGCCCAAAAAGGGATTCAGCATTGGGACGGTGTCCAGCTCCCCTTCGACTTCCTTGTAGCGCAGGAAGGATTCAACCACCAAAAGGTCATTGCTTTTCTTTTCGAGAACGCCTGCAGAGAGAGAAGCAAAGGGAACCCCAGGGGGGAGGGAGGGGTGCTTCACACACCTCACACAATGCGCAAAAAAAACGGGCAGAAAACAAGGGGGGCCTCCTCGTCCCGATTTGGTAGGTGTGACTGTTAGCTCTGGGTTGTTGTTTTGTTTTTTAGATCAGGTTTTCCCAATGAACTCGGTTTGATACTGATAAATTTGGTTTCATTGGATTAAAAGGGGAATTTCTCATTAAAACTTGACGTACGGAAACTACATAAGCTATAAGACAAGTGTTTCCCGACCCTGGGAACTTTAGGAAGTGTGGACTTCAACTCCCAGAATTCTGGGAGTTGAGATCCACCCATCTTATAGTTCTCAAGGTTGGGAAACACTCTAATCAGAGGAGAGGAATCCCAAATGGAAAGACTAAGACAAATGAGGGAATGTGCTGGAAGGCTTTACCTGGCCGAAGACAGGCTCTTATGGAAGGTTCCATAGGTCAGTTTGTATTATTGCCGCTCCTGGCTTGGCACCCCTACACGCAGGGAGCCTCTTAAGGTCCTCTAGGGAAAAACCCCCCAGGCGATCAGCTCAGCGTGCTACCCAGGTCACTCACTGAAATACTGCATCAAATTCTGATCCGTGATCTCCCCCGTCTCGCCCAGATGCTGCGTGATCTTGGTGGCATCGCAGCCGATCTTCTTGAACAGGAAGTCCAGGGCGGATTTCAGCTGGTCCAAGATTTTGCTGCTCTCTTTCAGATTGTAGGCATAGAGATTGATCTTTTCGGTGGTCTTCTGCAGCTGCTCCTGTGGGCGGGAAAGGGGGCTGATGGGGCTAGACGAGGGGCTGTGAAAGCCAAAGTATTACCAAGGCCCCCCAACCCCCAAGCTAAGCCCAACTGATTCCCACCCTGAAGAATCACTTTCTTTTATAAATAAGGGACAGGGGACACTGCCCTGGTCTCTCCCCCCCCCACACTGACACACACACACACACACACACACACACACACCAGTTCTATTACATACCTCCATGCTTTTCATATTGCCATGAATTATATCTTCAGCTGCTTTCTGCTGGGATTTCAGATGGCTGATTTCATTCTACAAAGTTCAGAAATGCATCATTTTGGCCTTCAGGCCACTTATGAGTTTGCTAGGTATACTTCCGAAAAAAGCAGCAGGTTCAGAGGATGCCTCTTTGTTTATTTAACTCGGAAGGCTGCTTGACTCTCAAATGACCCTGGCCAGTTTTACATAACGAGAGAGGGCTTAAAAAAAAAAGTGAAAGGAGAACAGGGGTAAGCATGCTCAGATAAAAACACCCCCAAAAAGAAAGAATGAAAGAGGAAGGAAGGAAGGAAGGAAGGAAGGAAGGAAGGAAGGAAGGAAGG